TAATAATAATAATAATAATAATAATAACAATAATAACTAGAGGGCACTCAGAGACTGCATACCTCCGCCCGTTACTCGGAAGTGAAACGCAACCTTGGAATTTCCTAAGAAAACCACTTTGCAATTCTTAAGCATAAAAGATTTTAGGCCCCCGCGAATTGAAATCGAATTGCTAATAGATCATATTACTGTTGTTGTACTGTACAGTACTTGTAAAATAAAAACTTATTAAGTGTCATTAAATAAATGCATAAATTTTGCTTTATGCACTCGCGCGTGCAGTAATTTTCACAGTTGTGCTATTTTAAATTCCCAGGCAGCTAAAATCTTTTGTCTTTAAAACAATGTCGATTTCTTGGGAAATTCCGAGGTTGCGTTCTTTTTATACACCCTGTATTGAAATAATCTAATGTTGTTAGAATTTGAATGGACTGGCACTTTGCTGAACGTAATAATGCGTAACTCCGTAAGCCTTGTTTTAGACATTGAATTTCGGTCGCGTGAAATGCAACTAAGACAATAGATAATGAAGGCCGAAGCTTAATGAGGTTTATCATCTCATTATTGTCTTAGCACTGAGTGCATAAATTATACACGTCCTAATTACGCATTCAGTAATATTTTTTGTTAATTGACCGGGAAAAGCAAGACAAAATTTTGTTCATTTCTCGTTCAATTTTTAACCAAATTCAACCAAATTTTAATCAGTTCTTCCTTAGCCGATGGGAAATGCATTCAAAAAATTTCGTACGGATATGTTTGGTATTTCTTGAGTTATCGTGCTCACAGACAAACACACACACATACACACACACACACATACACACACACACACATACACACATACACACACACATACACACACACATACACACACACACACACACACATACAAACCCAGATGATTACATAACCTCCTGGCGGAGGTAAATACAAACCCAGATGATTACATAACCTCCTGGCGAAGGTAATTATGGAAGCGGATTGGTATCCCAAAGATGTTGTACGGTTCTGAGCTCTGGCAATTGAATTGTAATGACATTGTTGAACTGGAAAAAGTGCAAAATATCACGGTGCGTATTATGCAGGGGCTATTACCTGGAATATCAGGGTCTGCTGCGCGAGGGTTGCTGGGCTTACCACCAATCGAAGCTGAAGTCGATAAACGGAAATTGTATTTTCTGGGGCGACTTATACTAATGAGTCATGGTGTTCAGTGCAGAAAGATCTTCCTCATGAGATTAATACGTTGGAAGTGGAACCATACAAACACCTTAAAAGGATTCATTCCAAATATTGTACGAATTCTTTTGAAATATGATCTCATGGACTTTCTAACAGGGTATATTTTATCCGATCAATTTCCAAACAAATCTGCATGGAAGAAAATTGTTAAAAAACATATATACGAGTACTATAACAATATCTGGCAAGAAAAAATAAGTACGCATGGTCAACTAAAACTTTATGCAGAAGTTCATCCTGTGAATGAAATTTCACCATGGTGGTTATTAGCTAGAATGAAACCGGACTTTATGAAACAAATTAATGATGTTCTAAGACTACTCTGTGGATCTTACAAAATTAAAGGAAAACGGGTGAACAAACCAGAAACTTATAGAGACTATTGTAATGTTTGTAATAGCAATTTCTTAAATCCTGTAAAGCATGCATTACTTTATTGTAATGGCACAAGCCAATTAAGAGAAGAACTATGGGAATGGATAAACGATACTATGCCAATCGAAATGACAGTACATTTAGCAAGTTTGACAGACATGGAATTTCTCTTAGTTATATTAGGTAAAAAGTTAGAAGTATTATGTGCAAACACAGACATATGGACGGAGCTATTGCTGAAATCTGCAAGTTATGTTTCCTTTTGTTATAGGAGTAATTTAGTTAGCTAGTTAGGTAACAATTCATAGTTTTTTCACTATCTTTATTTTATTATTAATACTTCCTTTGTAAATATACCTACTCTTCAGAAATTGGAGGCAATAAAGATTTAAAACTCACTTACAACGATGACGTTTTGAGTAAATTCACTCACGGCAAAAATTATAATTATCCCGCCTTTTGTTATGACTTTGTTTATTTCACCTGACGCTGGACATAACCTTTATTTTGTCGCTTTATGTCGACTTTTGTTTGAATGAATTGCATACTTTCTACAAAAGACTGTACGTATTTTATTTTATGGTCATTTTCGTGGCATCTATACCGGGCGAGCTTGAAAAATATGCCCGGCCACGGTGGGAATCGAACCTACGACCTTTGGAATACTAGCCCAATGCTCTGCCAACTGAGCTACGCGGTCAGGACGGTTCGAGTAAGTGATATTTCGGAACAGAATCTAGTTCCTTCGAAATATTCTGTTCCGAAATATTACTTACTCGAACCGTCCTGACCGCGTAGCTCAGTTGGCAGGGCATTGGGCTAGTATTCCAAAGGTCGTAGGTTCGATCCCCACCGTGGCCGGGCATATTTTTCAAGCTCACCCGGTGTGGATATACACTCAGAGTAACATCACAAACATCATATTCACCTGAGTACACAACACCAACACACAATAAAAATTTATATATTGCTTCGTGGCCATAACTAAGTATAGATATTTTTCCAAAGGCAAAGTTTGTTTATCCTAACCCACCCTGTCAACTCTCCCGGTGGGAGGAAACCGGAGCGCCGGGAGAAAACCCACGACTTTCGGCAGAGCGTTCACAGGCTCTTTTCACATGAGTCCGCATGCAGCGAGAACCGAACGACTACGCCAGGACAGGCGTGTGTAAAAGTATACTGCTTTATAACAGGTGGGAAATTTGTCTGAGCATGCGCGAGTAAAATGAACCACGCAATGGCGTGGAATACACGCAACGCGTGTTTAGAAAAAGGCACAATCGTGTAAATATTGCCAAATGTTTGTACAAAATAAATGACTGTTTTATGTTGAAAGAGTAGACATGATCTAAATTAATCATACAGAATTTTTTAGTGACGTTCTATTTCAGTACCCTGCCATTGTCTCTGGTGGTCTGTCCGTGTGCATTCGATCTGAAACAGTTGCTACTTTGCTGTCGAAGAATTTCGAATGTTTACATGAAAATAGGCAAGTCATGCATTTTACAACCTCTTAAACTGTATGAGCCCCTATTTTTACGCTTATACCTAAGATATCAAATAAAAGTACATGAAACAGAGAACATTTGTAGAAAGTTTTATCGTGAGGCCACGGCCAGTTTTTAAAATATCTTTATTTCTGTTCCGGTCATCACCAAAATTACACAAAAGCCGGGATTGAATATACAACAAATTTTGAATCTCATAAAGCACAAAAATACTTAACGTGTAACCAAAATATGCTCATGAAATCGAAATTAATAGCTAAATTTTCAAACTAGACCCTTCTCGAAGCGGTTTTCATGAAGGAAGTTCACATTTCGGCCTTTGATTCTTGGCAAAAATTTGACCACAACACGTGCGAAGCAACTGGGTCTCAAAGACTGAACTAAAACATTGTGAGCCCCTATTTTCCTGACGATATGTTTGATACCTACAAACGCCGAAAAGTTTTTTCTTTTCATTTAGCTATATTTGAAATTGAGGCCACGGGCTATTTTCGAGAAACTACAGTTCAAAGTCAAGCTATTTTTACATATTTTCAAAATTTGTCAAATTTCGCGAGCTTGTATTTTGAACTTAGACAGCTGAAGTTACATTATGAAACATAGGATGGAAAATTTGAGGCATATAAAGTTAATTGCAACTTACATTTCATTCTCAAATCACGTCTTTCTTCGTTTATTACGGTTTTAAACAAGTCATAGATCGACGTATACGGTATTTACTCCCATGTTCACGTCGCCATATTAACTTCTTCCAATCACTCGATTACAAAACAATCATCCCAAAACAAAGAATTCATGATCGACTTTTAAAAGAATAACCAATAATTTGTAATTCGTTGAATGGAAAGCAAAAAATTGTCAGCTAAAACAGCTTCTTGCTAACTTTCTGCTTTGTTTTTGAATGTAAATGCAATGAGCTTTGTTTCTGCCCGCAATTTTTTGGTCAGCGACGACAAATTTCCCACCTGTTCTGCTTTATATATTAGGTATAATTGATGTGCTGGGCCGGTTGTATAAAAAGTAGTTAAAGTTATAACTGCAGTTAGCGTTAACTACCGTATTTAAATCCTTAACTGTAGTTAGTTAGCCTAATTACATGACTTAACTGCGTTGCACAAAACGTAGCTAGTCAGATAGTTAACTAATCACGTAGGCGGCTAACTGTGTGCATGTGGAGGATTTAAACACAAAATTACATAAAGTAAGCAATGATTAACGACCACTGACAAGCATTTTTAACATGATTGTGGACTCGTATTTTGCAAATAGGCTGGAATTTGATTCAAAATAGTGAAAAATAAACAACAAAAAAAACAAGGCACAACCGCCGCAAAAATCACAAAGGAAGGCAGTTTTTCCGTGAGATGTCTACGTTATACCAAAGTGTAGCCGCTTGGAAATTATTGAATTATATATCAGTATTTCTTCGTGGAATGGGCCCTGCTTCGTCTTCGAGAAATCGTCCTGTGCAAAAATATATTCTGTTTTTACAAAAACACCAAAGCGATAACGTTTGAAGAGTTGATATTGTCAGGAAACATTCACAGGGAAGATAGCGATTGAAAATCCCAGGTAACTGTTGCTTTTGATTATTGTGTTACTGAAAAATGTTATTCACTCCCTATACAAGCGCCATTTTTAACTACGTTTTGAGAAGTCGATGTACCCTTGCGCATAGTTAACTTTAACTACTTTTTAACTGCCGTTAACGCTAACTACATTTTTATACAACAGACTTAACTACGTAGTTAAAGTTAATTACTATTTAACTATACGAAACGGGTATTTAAATAGTGGTTAAGAGTAGCCCAGGAGGCTACGGATAAATCAGGTGTAATCAGCAGATGTGTACAGTTAAACAGAGGAAACTTACCTTTTGGCCAATACTTCGTTTGTGTTCCAATGATTTGTTTCATACAGAATGTTCTGTTCACATCTTTTTTACTATCAACTATTAATGTGACGTTCATATGTGACCCACTGGATACACTTGATCGCTTACTTGAGTTCTTATCGTCATCTTCCATATCCTGATATCTCCAGCCTTCATCCCAGCCATTCTTCTTACCACTTGGACATCCTGATTTAGGTTTGGGAAGACCATAAATGCCACTAGGCCACTCATTACCTGCAAACAATATGACAGGCGTGTGTAAAAGTATGCTGCTGTACATATTAAAAGGAGGTCCTTAACGTTATACCTAACCTGCGGTCGACCTTTATTTTTCTCGTGGAAGGTTGAGGCTGGGGACGAAATACGAAGCCTGATACAAATGTTATTAAAACCCGGATTTCGGCTGTAGCTGTGATTGGCTATTTTCTACCATGACCATTAGGCCATATTTAATGTATGATTTTGATTTGTTAATGCTAATCAGATAATGATACGTGTACATTTATATTAGTAGTAATTGTAACTATAATTTATAGATTGTTGTGTTTTTATACGAAATTGACATTTCTCCTCGGAAATTTTTATTGAATACTAAATATAAAACTGATACTGTAGTCTGTAGGTGGAAAGTAAGCAGATTAAGGCTCTATTTGCAAAATGGGGGCGTGATTGCAGGTTGCGCAGTAAAATTTTTATAGAAGTCCGGAATGGCCATTTCCTGCGATTACACAAGGTGAAATTTATGAAAAGACAGCAACAAAAAATCGCGCGATTAGAGGAAATAAATAAAAAGAATATTAGAGGTAATATTTAATATATTTGAAGCAGGGAACACAAAAAAGACAAAATGTTCAAACATTTCGGCAAAATCATCGTTCGAACCATCGCCCTCTAGACTGGCTCAAACATTTGGACCTATAGTCAACCAAATAACCAGAACCAGAATGTAATACCTGACTTGGCACATGTGTCTTTTGGCCCAATTTCTTCATATCGTTTAAATAATGAGTTTGAAACAATCCTGGTTAGAATAACCAACCGTCAACACAGAGGTCTACTGACCACAAACTCAGTCGTAACTTAGTACTTATTCCCAATTGTAATTTTCCCCAGCTTCCAAGCTACTATCGTATGTCAATACACGTTCGCTTTTCGTGAAAGTAGACGAACTGCAAGCGCTTTTATTTATCAATCCTGCAGACATCATTGCTATTGCTGAATCGTGGTTATACGAGGATATCTCTGATGACCTTATAGCACT